ATAAAAAAAAAACAATTGCACTTTTGAACCGCTGGAACTAAAATTACGAATCAAAATATAGGTTATTTAAAGTCACTCACATAATCACTTTATCTACTGACAGTCAGTATTTGTGTATCGTCAGCAAAATTTTTTTACCCGTTCCAAACAGTTCGTTCGCATTTTGTTTCTAGATTGGGCGATAGCTAATGATAACAAGAAAACAAAACATCACAAATACATTTAAGTTGCATTTCCTGGAAATATTTGTTCCCAATATAGCCTGGGAATGCTCAGATACGTTTATCATAGCAAGACAAATACCGTTGTTTGCCCTTGTTATCTTTCAAAGAGCTCCAGTCTAATTGTGTTTATGAATCACAAATGTATGTTGGAGTTAATTTTTATTCGGCAATATAGACAAACAATACACGTTCGTCCTGCGATTATCAATTTTACTATGCAGTTCAAATGACATACTATTTTAAACGCTAATCTAATGAAGATTCGAAAATCGTATATAGTAGATTGTCTACTTTGTAGGCCTATATAAAAGTACGTATTGTGTCCTTCCGGTTATAGCACTTCTTTTGTCAATGGTTATAACCAATCTTCTTGAACTGACAGAATCAATGGATCAGCTGTAGACAATTTTAATTTCCGCTGACGCTTGAGAGTGGTGGCACATCCTCTGTATTTATAGCGTTGATTTTATAGTTAATCCAAGTAGGCGTCTCACCTTATGGTAAAATCATTGTATTGATATGCGCTTCCGGCTTCAGAGCGATGATGTTCATCAAATATTTATCGGGTCCGATAGGGTTTAAATGATACGGTGTGTGCTTTATCCCGTTGCAGAGGACAAGCAACATGTTATCATTGATTTAATTTTAATATTAATTATTTTTTACTATTTTTTCTTTTTGAAACGATATATTTATTTTTTATTTTGTTAAATGAAACTTAGATAGGCATAGAGCTAACATAATAACGTTCTACGTATACCAGTAAAATCATACTTTAAATTGTCCTCGGCTAGTCCGCAACAATCGCAAATTATAGAAATGAGTAAGTTTTCTATGATTATTGATTATTTAAATAGCTTTAAATTATTAAAATTACTAATCATTGCACTAATAGACACAAAATAGTTAATTTTTTTAATAATTTGATTAGTATGAAATAATATTTAACGTGGTAGAATAAAAAAACACAAAAAAAACAGGTCAACGTCAAAACTATCTGTACACCTGCATTAATCCAGGACAGAAAAATGCATTAAAATAAAGTAATAATTGTCCTTAACTGATTAATACGGATGACAAGTCTAAAAACCCTTAGTTATTTGGATAAAAATACGCCATAATGTTTTCCTAGGGCAACTTTCAACGCGCCACAACACAACAATACAAATGCAATGACTTCAGGCAAGTTTGCAGTGTGGCGCCAGTGTGCCGGGTTGGAGCGTTGTCGCTCACAGCTGTTCGATTGTTGCAAGCCGGAGGTTGCCGAAGTCACCCGAACACGAGGGCCCGCCGTGTTCCCTGTGTGCATATTGCGATATGACTACTATTTATAAACCAGTGTCAAGCTATTTCTACGCCGCATCCAGTGAACTGTCCCGCACTTTGAGAATTTAGTTTTTATATACTTAATCTGTATCAATAAAGAGAATTCGCTTTAAACTTTCAGAAGCAGGTTTGCCAAAAGAACGATTAATAGAAGTTTTATTTGATCAGGACGAATTGTTTATCATGTTGTAGGATGATATTTAAGTGTGACAGAAAGTAGGACCTAAACAACTTACAGTATATTCAATGATTTTTAGTCAGTCAGCAGAGTTGTGTTAAAACAAAAACCGATTCTGAGGGTGTTTTACCTTAATTTAATTTTGAATTTGAATCTGGATGTACAAGTCGGGGGAGTTTCATAATATCATAGTGTCATTATGTCTAAAACCATCAATTAGTTCCACAATGTCCACAAAGCAATACTTTCCACACTACTAAGGAGTGTCATAATACCAGTTTTATTATGCTGAATGGAAAAAGTCTCATAACCGGTAACCGTTCAATAATTACTCAACTAACTGTGAAAATTTATTGTTACGCTCATAACTTAATAAAGAGTAATGTTTTAAGGTCATATTGGCTCAATTTAATATACCATTTCTTGGTATCAAAACTCGAAATATGCTTACTTACAAGAAAACTTACTTGGTATGATGTAATCTTGTCCAAAATGTAATAGTTTAGGGGTTGCGCAGGGTAAAGCCGACACTGTCCATTCTATAAGAAAATAAAAGTAGGGTTTTATACATACATACAACATGGATCTATGTAAATAAATAAATATATATATATATATGTGTATATATATATAAGCCTGTATACCTAATATTGGCGAGAGTAAAGTTCATTTGACAGAGTAGTACAAAGGTCAAGTGTGCGATAACATTGCAATGACTGAGTAATCATTTAGTACGTTAACACATTTTTAAGCCCATAATTTCTCGTTTAAAAGACAACCAAAACCAAGGTTATGTTTAGGATCGTGTGCGTGTGTGGGGTCGATGGCAGGTCAACGCCCAACAGAGGACCCATGTTGTAATATATTCAGGATGAGAAGACGAAAATGTCTAAACGTAGACAGATGTTCTGTTCCATATCATAGATTAAAATACTCCTTAGATTGTCCTTAAGGATCATATAATTAAAATTTGTGTCTTATATCTGTCCGGTTTACGTATAGGTAGTACCTATCACGAAAACTTGAACAGACCCATTTTTACAGCAAGGGAGTAAAAAATACCACTTTGTTCATAATTTAAAGGGCTATACAATACCAAAGTTTGATCAAAATCGGTTGGGCTATTTTTGAGAAAAATATATCTTTTCGTTATTTTGTGTTTTCTTTATGGGGAAATCACCATTAAAAACAATCAAAATAAAATAAAAGGAAAAACTCCTGGAGATACCATGAATTACTACCTACATACCAAACTCATAAAAATCGGACCACAGGTGTGGTCATAGGCTCTGTACACATCTACACATACAGACACACACACACGCACGCCCACACACTCACACACAGACATAACTTCGAAAACAAATTTTTTGGGTCCAGGGGGACCCAAAACGAATATATACACTCAAAACTCAAACTCGAAAATGTTTACGAAAACAATTCTTTCTCCATATAGCCTACTATAGTATAGGGGGAGAAAGTAAAAAAAAAGCAAATCTCTCCTAAAATAAAATAAAAAATACGCCGCATTCAAGCGTAGCCAGTCAACAAATCAATCTAACTAGTACAGGATACAGAGGAGGTCTTTATTTTCTCCAGGATAGTAGCCGAATTCTAAAGAGGTTTGTGACCTGATCTGTTACCCATTTCTTAACCTTGCGCCTTCCCGCCCACTTTAGGCCTCGGGTCTGAGCCAAATCACATAAGACCAACACGTGGTCTAAGTGATTGTTGGTCTGAGCGTGAAAGTATTAAACAAAGCGAGGGGTAATTAATTACAGTAAGGTAATTGAGCCGGTATAATTAAAGGGTATAAGTACTTACTCCCTCAATTGTCTGTGGTAGGCCTACAATACAAGCTTGAACCTGAATCTGCTGCATGATAACATATTTATTTTACTAGTAGCACCAGGACGCAATGCCTCAGTATCGCTGCCTTTCCGTAGCGCTACCTACTGAGCCCGCGATTCAAAATTACTGTACTTTATTCGCCGTTTTTCTATCTTTTTCGGAATCTGCGTGAATAAAATTTGGTACACAATATTTAATTTTTATATTTAGCAAAATTTAATATTGCTCATGTGCACCCAAATCTATTATTGCCTGACCAGACTTTTCCTCGCTGGTCGCGGATCGCCGTCGTCCAAAACATGATATTGATTACTGATTAGAAGCTGTGGCATTCGTACGTCCAGGCCGTCTTCAGGAAGCCTAAACCGGTTGTTGATGCTATTTATAGCCTCTGTTAGTTAACCAGTTGAGCTTGACTTGAATTACACCTGTATACTGTTTAACTTAACCTTAAATCGAGGGTAAAGTCAGTTGACCTAGATTGGAAATTTTCTGAGGAATCTTGTAGGTTTATATATACATTTTAATCTCGTTTAGCCGAAAATATTATTTTAATAACACGATAGTGAATATTTTTGTTTTAGGAACAAGTACAAGTTTGTAACATGTTTACAATTATTAGGAGATTATAATTTAATATCTTACACCGCAATTGAATAGTGAACCTATTTTGCACCCAGGGCCGAAATTGAGGTTTTGCAGGATTAAGATTGTGTGAGATTACAAAACGTTTTTCTGACGAACGAGCGCTATTTTAAATCTGAAATATTAAGCATTTTATCACATCTTAGAACAAAAGTGGTTTGACTTCATAAACGCAGAGTTAACCAATAAAGAATCACGGTGGGTATCTTAATGAAAAAATGATCGTTACGGAAGCATTGAAAATGAATCTAATCCAATATTTTAACAACCTCGAATCATACCTTTCTATCGATATACAGAAATCCTGCTCAGACAAGTGCATAATGCCATTGGACTTGCAAATGGTTGATCTATTAAAATACTGCATTATCTAATATCACACCGGTAGCCATTGGTTTGATCATATTGAATTGAACATAACTCATGAACAGCATCAACCGCGTCAGATTCAATTGACATACCAGACTTGCTATGTGATGTGGCATCCTGATTTCCAAGTTATTGACTAAGCTGAGTCATGCATGATGCGTTTGACAACGATAGATTCTGACACCAACAACAACAACAAAAAATCAATATGAAAATTAAAACTGACTATTATGTTATGTTATTAAAATCCAATACGAGAACTATAATATCAGTGCAATAATCCAAAACATGGTCAATATTGCCTTTACAAAAATATTGGTAAATTTATTTTATTTGTGTCGTACCTAAATCATAAGACATAGTTAATATAAGAATATTTTGTAATTTAAATATAATTTCTGCCGCAGGTTGTTGGAGCGAGGAGATGACCTCTGAGCGAGGCGGGCTGCTCAAGAGCCGCGCTGAAGACTTTGCACGTCACCTGACGAGGCGTCTGCGCTCCCTAGGCGGGGCTGGAGATGGTGGCGGGGGCAGCTGGGTAGAGTCGAGCACTGAGGTCTACTACGACATTGACTCATCTCTGGCGAGTCCCCAAGAAGAACTTGCAGAGCCAATCTTCATCGCATCCCAAAACAAAGATGGTCTTCCTCTCCAGCGAAGTGAATCGTCAGGATCCGAGTACTTTGACACCTTCGAGGAGCTTCCTCAGCCATCTTCATCAGCACTCCTGAAGAAAATCCCTATCCTCCACCTTAAGACTGAAAAACCAGTTCCTCTCACAAACGGACACACAAACGTCATAGATGCAGACCTAGGATGCACCAGAGTCCATGTCATATCTTGCGAAGAAATTCAACCAAGTGAAACAATCGCCGAGAAAGAAACCTGTGATATTGTCGAGAACAACAACACCTGGATTGATGTGGAAGATGTGGACAAAATCGATAAAAAAGAAGCTGAACCGGTGTTAGAACTTTGTAATGGTGCTGTAAGCTTAGAAACGCATTTGGTTTGTGCTGGGAACACATCAGATAAAACAGAGACAGAAACATTAGGAAATTGTGTGTTTTGTGATATAGAACAGGCTAAGTCTACTTTTACCAGTAATACAGAGTCAATAGTTCCCCAGATAGAAGACCAAAGAATTAGCAGTAGTATAAACCATAGTGCAGATAAGGAACCCGATAAACTCAAAGATTCACACCTTGAATTTTCCCATCAGAAGCCTAACGGATATTTACCTGAGACAGAAGATAGTGTTTCTCTTTCTGATCTCCTTCAAGTTTTAAAAAGGGAGATTTCAAAAGATTCTGAATGTACTGAAGAAGCAAAGAATTTGGTAGCAGATTCAAAAACTATTGAAGACCCACAGACTACTTGTCCTAGTATCGAAGTAAGAGAATCGACGCCTACACAATCCCAAGAGGCTGCAGAAAAAGATGAAGAATTTGACATTGAAACAAAAAGGAAAAACTTCCGAAGATGTTCGAGTTTGAAAAGTGGAAAAACGCCACCTGGAACTCCAGGGAGGAAGAAGATTGTCAGGTTTGTGACAGAGTTTAGTTTTGTTCCCTCAAATCAGTTTAAGAAGAGGCAAAATTCATGACAACTGAGTTAGTAGATTTTGAGGGGTTTGAAGGCTTTGTTAGCGCTTTCTTGATACTTAGTAGGTTATCAAACTATCATCTTAATATTATATGTTCTAGACTAAGCCTGCAACTTTCAATGTAGTCAAAATTTTAAAAATCCAGTCAGTGGACTAAAAAATACCTTGCAGCATGCGTTTTGCAACTGACAGCGATAGCTACTAAATTTGATTTTCTTTCATCCAGTTCTTCCTTCCTATGCTCTTTTTATACTCGTATGTTGTCCATATAATCACTTTTCTCTCAGAGAGTGTCATGAAATTTTGATAATTATTTGAAAAATGAATTAGGTTAATGGCTAAAATAGAGATAAGAAAAATAGTTTTTAATTTAGTAATTGGACTGTATTTGTTATTGGTAAATTTTGTTTACATAAAAGGAATCACTTACTGTTCTTGTTTCAATCTTCTTGAAGTTGAATACAAATTTTATAATAATTTTCTTGGCTTGAATTACACTTTTACTCATTTTGGCTTCTTTTCAATCTTCATCACAGTCACATGTCTCAGATGTTGTTTTCAAATAAATTAATTGTCAAACATTTATTTTTGAGCTAGTTAAACTGCTTGCATTAACAGTGTTGCCAATCTTTATAATGAAATATTCTTTAATATACAATGTGATATAATAGAATTTGATAATTTTTAATATATTGAATTTAATTCTAATTTAAACTTTAATAATAATAAACTGTAAACATAAACATTTAATGAATTTTTATTGACTTGTTTGGAATAATTTAAGTATGATTGAAATAAAGAAAACTAAGAGAGTAAAGTGATTCAAAGCACTAAAGAGTGATAAAGAGTTTCAAAGAATTTATCTCTTGTTAAGTGTAGTTTTTCATTGATTTTGACCAATTGGCCAGTAAAGTGTTGCATATCTGTCTTTAATGTAAAGCTTTGAAGACATACATCAGGGAGCAAGATTTTTGTAACTAGTAGGTGAAGTGAGGAGTGCACTTTGCTGCACACGACGGAAATGATTACGCTCGAGCTGTAGGCGACTGTGGAAAGTTTCTGGAGTGCAGCAAAGGCATTTTGCACTCGTGTTACACATTATATTTTTCCTACAGTTACTATAAATCATATAAATAATTTGTCTTTCAAACACCGTACAACACGTTTTTAGGCTAGGTTAAATCCAAACATTGAAGAAATGGGGGACCAGCTGATCGTAGTCGTAGTATCTTTAAGTGTTGCCTACCTATTTCTAAGCGTACACGGATTACGTGCATAATTAAAGCACGCTGTTTTGTGTTGTTTGGTTGGAATACTGGTGTGTGGTTAAAAAAAAAAAAAAAAACTTTACGGCAAAGTAAAAAGTGTGCGGCAAAAACAAAGTAAATGCAGCAGTTAGCAGCTTTCTGTACTATAATCAGTGCAAGGAAGCCCACTTTGTCGGGTAACTGTAGGAAAAATCATTTGTTTATTTCCAAAAAGTAACAATATGAATCCATTCAAGGTTCGCAGACGTGCTGGGATTGGACTTGACGGATACCAAAACCTTCCAAGACGAGGTACCCACGGTGCCCAGTTCAGCCTATTCAGACTTGCACCTACCTGACGATGTTCCATCTTCACAAGCCACTTCCAGTGTGATGACTCCTCAGACCCAGAAGGTTCTGGTGCCATTGTTCCCTCAACCGTTTCTCTCTCCCAATTTCATGGACCGAGTGATGGCCAATAACGTTTGCCTAGAGAGTGCAGCAGTAAGTGACATGAACCTGTTTGCCATCACAGGAGTTGTCAGGGTGCGGAACATTGATTTCCACAAGAGTGTTTACATCCGCTATTCCATCAACAGCTGGAAGAACTATGCTGACCTGCAGGCCAGGTGAGTGAATGAAAGAGAATATGATGATGTGTCGATGTGTGGATTTAGAGAAAGGAATTTGCTAGAATTATGGTTCTGTCGGGAAATATATGAGGACCATTTGTAATAGTTTGTGTTCATAAATTTATCAGAAACTTTTTTACTTTAAACATTCAGATAAATCATACTATGTGATATGTTTTTTGCTTAAACTTAAAGGAGCTTGCTGCTTTATTCCCCTGGTAAGAAACGGTTTAGCAAAAAGAAAAGTACACAATATATACCTGTTTGTCTTTTGAAATTATAAACTTTGTTATTTATTTTTGTTGTTGTTTCAACCACAACATTTTATATCTTTTTTCTCATAAATAGTTAATTATATGATGAATAATTTCCGTTAGTGTTGTCAACTAAAACACCTCTTTGGTATTAATTTTGAGATCTCTGTATATTTTCTCAGGTACATTCCCAAATCCTGTGATGGTTTCTCCGACAAGTTTAGTTTTGTTCTTTACGCACACACGCTGAGTGTTGGACAGAAGATGGAGTTTGCTGTCCGCTACCACACAGCCGGCACTCAGTTTTGGGACAGCAACGGTGGACTTAACTACGTATTTGAATGCTTACAGCAGCCTGTTCCCATCGCCCATCCAGAGATACCCTCAAGTCCCGCCGAAACTTGGGCCTCCTTCCTCTAAATTTGAAAATTTAAATACACAGAAAGGCTGGTGAGGTTTTCCTTAATGTTACACAGAATAGCAGTTATACTCATGTGTTCTCAATAGTTAAATTATGTATGTATTCTTTAGAGAGAAGACTTCTTTATACAGTACTCAATTCCACTTACACTATGCAGTACATGGCTAATAAGAGACAGTCATGCAATTAAAACTATTGGTATCGTTCTGTGGGCTGTGTCAAGTATCCCCCTAACCCTCAGAAAATGTCAGTGATGATAGGGTGTACAACTTTCTGTAAAACTTACTCTATCCCTTTATGTGATCTCACTCATTACAGCAAGGAGGAAAACCTCACTCATCAAAATTTCCATTTCATTAAAAAAACTCATAAACTCACTTTCACTCATAGATCACTCTAGGGTATCAGAAGTAGACATAACAATGTAAATGAACAAGTTCCATTGATGGGATCCTGCCTTTAAGACTAAGAGTAGAAACTAAGTCATAGCATGTAAGGCCTTCAAGATTTTTTAACAATATTGGTTTTATTTTTGAAATTGTTTCCATAAAAATTTGGATCTGTTGTTTTACCATACCATTACACAACAAATAACTAGCTATTAGAAAGAAGAACATGAGCTCAGTAGCTTTATGAATCAATTTAATAATCAATATATTTTTTTCTGTGTAGAATAACTCTGCATTATTTATTTACATCATTAGTTTTTTTTTTAAACAGATATCCTTCCATTAAGGTCTAAAATACATACATACACTAATTGTGATTCCATGTTTTTATATGCTCCTTAGTAACAGTGAAATTTACCTTAACAGACTCTTTTCATGGTGAACATAAAGAAAGAGCATGTTTTTTTACCCTAAATGGTTACAAAAATATTTAGCTTAGAATTTCAACTGCAGTTCCCTTTTGACAATTCACTTTCAAAACACATACAGTTTTTTATACATTACAATGGGTCAAACCCAAGGAACAAGTCATTTTTCGCTTGACAACTAAAAATAACATGTTTATAATGAGTGCAAATCCTGTTGCAAAATATTTTGCGGGTTTGTAGGTCAGATGGTGGTTAATCCAGTTGAAACTGTCCTTAGATAAGTGGTAATTGAGAGTAACTATCTCTAGTCATTGAGTTTATCAGGGTCGCCAACCTTTGCCACTGTTTGTATTTAACTTTAAACCGATTATCATCCATGCCATTGCAAGATCAGTGCCTGAATATTGAACTTAAGATGATACATTTATTTAAATATAATATAGCAGACATTGACTTGATAGGACATAGTATTCTGTTTCCTCAGTTGGGTTGATGAATTGATATAGTAAAAATCGGTCAAGAGGGGCAAAAATATACTATGGTAAATACAACAAAATCCAGAGTGCAAAAAATAAAGTTGTATTTTACAACTATAACCTTTCCAGATAACTCATAATTTACTTTAAAACTTAGCTAGTGCAATTTTGGTCGTAAGTTAGATTATGTGAAAATGGTCCAATGAGAATTTTTACTGTACAATATTGCCAAATTTATTTAGATCTTTTTTTAACTACTGATAGAATGTACTTCAGTTTTCAAAAGTCAATATTAGAACCAAAGTTTAAAGCGGATTTTACTATTTATCTTGAATCATTTTAATTTTATCTTCTTTATAATTCCTTGTGTTCAAATAACAATAGCGGGTGGCTGGTCATCAAGTTACAAACTTTTTTGTATAAGTACAAAGTAAATGAAGTGTGATAAGAGGTTCCAAGTCTAAAAAATAGCTTCCCAATGAACTATTTTACTTTTACAAAAAAAACCATGTTTTTCAACACAATACAGCATTTCTCAATTCAATAACCACCAAACGGATTTGAGTAGATGATGTCATTTTCGTGTTCTACATTACATTTTGAATAAGAATAATTGAAAATGATTGAGGATAATAGTAAAAACCCCATTGTAAACAGTTCCAAAATTAAAGGTCTATGATAAAGGTTTAAAAAACCATTGGTCTATTGCATTTTTCTACAACCTGTATCAAAATATATTCAAACTGCGCCATTTTATAAGCTTTAAAACCACATGTTACTCTATTGAAGTTTAGATCCTGCTTTTGTTTGTTTCAGTGCTTTGAATACTAGAAAACACAGGGAAATTTTTTACTGTTTTTACAGTATTTGCTGACTACATGCCTACTACCTATTTAAAATGTTAAAACCCCTGTGTTTTGGGAGTCTTCAAACCACTAAAGCGAACATAAGCAGACCTCAGCCTCAATAGTTGGAAAGCTTATTAAATGGCACTGTTTCACAATATTATGCTACCTTCTTGTATACAGAGTATTGAAAAATGCAGACAATTTATTTTTAATCTTATAATATACCTTAATTTTAATCTTTGGAACTATTTATAATGGGGTTTTTATTATTGATCCTCCAACATTTTCAATTATTCTTTTTCAAAATTTAATCTAGAACACGAAAATGACATCATCTACTCAAATCCGTTAGCAGGTATTTAAGAAATTGCTGTATGGTGTTGAAAAACATGGTTATTTTAGAAAAAAAGTTAAATAACTCATTGGGAAGCCAATTTTTTTACTTGGAACATCTTACTGTACAAGTACATGCATCAACACACTTCATTTACTTTGTACATACACCGAAAAAAAAACATTTTTTTAACACTGATCACCAGCCACCCTGTATATCTTTATCAATGTTAGTAAGTTAAGTATTAGTAAGAATCACATATTTTATATACTATTTTTGTTGTGTTTATAATTTTATTCTTTTTAGATTAGTGTAAATTGTATGTATAATATTTGGTGCTCTATGTACAAATTTTACAAAGGCAGATTTTAATTGTATATTTTACTGGTATATGTGATGTTTCTATGGTGCCATATGTAGCCTTAAATGCTGCATGTTTTTCTCTACCAGAAAAATATCTGTAATAATAAATATTAAACAAAACTTTAAATAAGAGTGTAACTATATGTATATTTTTATAGACGAATAATACTACTCGATTTAATTTTAAGTTTTTATTTAGAGTTTAAGTTAGAGAAAGCTAATTTGAGAGCCTTCAATAAACTTGAAAAAATATATTTTAAAATAGTACATTAGGACTATACATGTAAATTTGTTGTAGTACTATAATAAATGTATATGTTGTAGTTTTTTGCCATCACAATTATTTACAATTTACTCTCTTTGTTGCTAGATATTATTGCAAAACCAATTCACCTCAACCACATCAGTACTTAATCTAGACTATATTATGCAAATGTAAATCTTTGTTCCAAAATTTTGCAATCACATTTTATAATCATTTAGCCTTTCTCTTGAACCATAGATTAAACATATTGTGACCCAAATATATTTAATATATCAAAATAAACTTGCAGTAGCAAATGTTTTAGAACTTATACAGTACTTACATAATAATTATAGTTACATCATACTGAACTCTACTGGAAACTGGCAGCTTTCATGATTTTAGGACATGTTTCATATTTACTGTAATCTTTTTATGTTAAGTATTTAATTTGTTATGACGATTTTTCAAATCATGTTTAATTAGTTTACATTTCTTATTTGATTTGATTATAACATTAGGTTTTAGGCTACATTAGAATCTCTTTCTTCTCTTAACATTGATGTTCAAAAGAATCATTGTATAAATCTGTTAAACTATATATGTTTGTAGCATCTAGAGAGACTGTTTGATAAAGTGTAAGTAAATTAAACCATATATATTGTAAATTATGAAGCTGAATATATTGTTATCGAATTCTATATTGATAGATTTCCTAAATGTACCTGATTATTAAGAACTGAAATATTTTCAATAAAGGAATCTGCCTAATTAAAAGTGTTTCATATTTCTCACTTACTTCCTTTTAACAGAATACTAGTTAACCGCCCGTGCTCCGCCACGGGAATATTGTCAGCAATAAAAGAAATAATAATTACAAATACTGTTTATCTTTGTATTTTATTTAGGGGTTGTTTAATTTTTTACATGAAATAGAACTGATAGTTTGCCTGTATAAACTATTTTATGTTAATCAAACCCATATATTATTTTAACCAAATGAATGTTTAATATTAATTCGAGTTTCATTTGAAAAATAAATAGTATACGAACTGGGCAATGCTGATAACCTAATAAGCAGCTATTTATGATATTTAGATAATTTGCTCAAGTATATTCCTATATTCGTCGTTTTTTTCATTACATTTGTTGTATGGAATAAAGATGGTCACTTAGCCTACATGTAAATCACGCATCAGCAGTTGGTTGCATTTCACGAATCTTTGACCCATACTGTGAGTAAAAGCTGTGTTTACGTCGTATAGTTGGGCATACTTTGTTCAATGTTGAGGGTATTAACGGTCCAATTTGATGGAAAAGGAGTCGTGGATTTTAAAACTATGTAGACTACCACTACCAGAAAGATGTTGATTCAAGTGAGACTTAGAACTGGCCATTTCAAATGCAGATTTGTATTATATTTTACTCAAATATTTTTTTTGTCTCTTTTGACCCTTAATACTTTTTTTATAGTCGCTGTTGATCAGATTTGACATTAACTCAAAATGTTGATAAGGAGTTCATTTTACCTTCCCCTTGTGACAACATAAGGAAAAAATATTTGTGTCCCAGTTAGTCTGTTCTGACTCAAAATTCATAGATTTGCAGTAGCCTACTGACAAATCCAATCTAACGACCCCAATTCAAAAAAATTGGTATTTTTTAGAAGGGACTTCCAGAGCACATTTAACACCATCACTGCTCTTTACCTTTTTAGTTCGATGGTTCTCTACATGTTTTTTCGTTCTGTATGTCTCTTTACGCCCGGTTAATGATTACCTTTTCTTTTTATTTTTGTACTTTTCACATCATGGGGTTAATGATAAAGTTTTATAACGCTATAATGACCCGAGTCAACATTGCCATTAAACATCAAGTCAGATACTCTTCGCCAGAACCGAAATCGTAAGTTACAGTTTCTCAAGCAACTTCCCTGTGTAGGCCTACTCGAACAAATATAGTTAGGGTATAGCTAGTTCACTGATAAATTGTAGTTCCAAATATCCCAGCGTACTCGCCATCTCGAGAAGGTAAAATTTGCACGTCGAACACTGATCTTGAGTAAGATTAATCACTTACGATACAATGTTTGTATGTTTACCAATCATTAGCAATTATCTGTACAACTTGCAAGCGGATTTCCCTATGATTGTTCTGGTGGCTATAGAGAATAAATTATATTGATAAAAACAATAAGTTTCCGTCCCCTACTATATTATTTCACATTCCATGCTCAAACTTAAACTCAATTACCACATTCCTTCAGATCACTTTGCAGAAAAACTGAAACATTTCTGTGTCCCAGTTAGTCTGTTCTGACTCGAAATTCATAGATTTGAAGTAGTGACAGATCCACTCTAACGACCCCAATTCAAAAGAGTTGGTATTATTTTGTAGGGACTTCCAGAGCACATTTAACACCAACACTGCTCTTTACCTTTTTAGTTCGATGGTTCTCTACATTTTTTTTCGTTAGGTATGTCTCTTTACGCCCGGTTAATGATAACCTTTTCTTTTTCTTTTTGTACTTTTCACACCCTGGGGTTATTTACAGTATAAAGTTTTATAACGCTATAATGACCCGAGTCAACATTGCCATTAAACATCAAGTCACATACTTCTTTGCCAGAACCGAATGTTAAGTCACAGTTTCTCAAGCAACTTCCCTGTGTACTTGAAAAAAAATTCACTGATATATTGTAGTTCCACGTATCCCAGCGTACTCGCCATCTCGAGAAGGTAAAGTTTGGTACCACTGAACGTCTAACACTGATCTTGAGTAAGATTCGTCACCAACTATAAAATGTTTGTATGTTTCCCACTCATTAGCAATTATATGTACAACTTGCAAGCGGATTTCCCCATGATTATTCTGGTGGCCGTAGAGAATAAATTATATCGATCAAAACAATAAGTTTCCGTTCCCTATTATGGGTATTATTTCACATTCCATACTCAAACTTAAACTCAATTACCACTTTCCTTCAGATACTTTGCAGGAAAACTAAAACATTTCAAAAATAAGTTAACAAATACGCTTTCCTTGATCAAAATCGTGTGTTTATAAACAGAAACTCCAAGTTTAATAATTGCATACTGAAAGTGAGGTTATAAAAATAATAACAAATGTCTGACAAACATTAAACAGCTGACGAATAATTTATAAACTGTGTATTATATTCTTCAATAAGAATTGTATTGACTCGAACTTTAAAGGGCTGTAGGTCGTAGCCCTTAGAAAAAACGTAAATTCCAAGGAAGTTCGGCAAATCTACACACTATCCCCTTTAATTTGAGACATAAATCTTGTAGATCGGTCCAGTAATTACTGAGAAAACAGTGTTACAACTGTGTATTAAATATATAGATTGTTAAATAGAAATATTTTTAACTTTAAATACTGTTCAATGTTAAGGAGTTTGTTGGGCTTTGCTATTTTGCAACTTTTGATAAGTTATAACCTTTAAATTATTTTTGAAATTTGCAAGGCTATAAATTGGTCTAGCAAGAAACAAACTCTTATTGTTTTTAGTTATTTTTCTATTCAGAGTAAAAAAAACTGTATCAGCAATCTGACATACTTTTTCTGATATACTTTTTCCTAATTAGCTTGCCAGCAACCCTTATCATGGGTAAGCTGTACAGGTGTCAGTAACTATGCTATTTTATGGGGAAAAACTAAAATTTGCAATTACTTTTGGACCATAATTTTTAGCAGCTGTGGCCATTTTGTGAATTTCTGGTTTCGGTGAAGAGACCCTCCCTGTTTCTCTTCAATGGTTATGGTTATTTAATTATTTCAAAATAACCCAAGTACTAGTGTACCTGTTGCTCGAATTCGAGCAATTGCGAAGCATTACAGGCGTTATTTTAAAATAATTTCCGATGACTTCATAAGAGTCAACTCAAAGATTATGGAAATAATCAAGATGTACACAACATAGTTAGATATAATAAAAATTTGTTGTAAATATCTTATCTTTTTTCAAAAGCTGACCTTGTTTTTTAGTGTTTTCTACAAATTAATGAAATAACCATCTACAATCAGCAAAAACCATTGCAAATACTTCATTTTGAGAAATTTAGTAAATCACAACAGCTGTTTCATTAAAAAGTAGTGTAAATGTATGCATATGGTCGTGATGTAAACAAATCTGAAGAGGGGACTTTATAGGCCTCTGGGGCAGAGCCCCAAGGGAATTTACCTTGTTTCTCTTTTGATGGCTCATCTACAGACTAAGACCTTTCTTTAGAGACCCCTACCAAGTTTCTACGCCCAGCCGTTCTCTGAAATTAGCTGTGACAAAAACCCATTTTTCCTCCATAAGAATAACATGGGATGGGAATTTAAACCACTAATTCCATCTGCTTTAGGAAAATCATTCAGATTGTATCCGGATTTATCTTAAAAGATGTAAATCTTCATCTTTTTTTTGATAAAGATATCTGATTCTCCAAAAAGCAGTAACATTCTTACTTCGATCTCAGCAATTTTAAATCCTTCTCTTGCCACATCGACCCATGTATGTAATCATCCTGTTCTTATTTGATAATTCATTAACTTATGGGGTAGTTTTGTCTTGGCCATATAGATCACATAAAGCTGTGCATGTATTTCGTGGATTGAAATGAACCATAATTGTAGGAAATTTTATCACAAATCTTGAACATTTGCGGAACCAAATCCATAACCTAGTCCAGCAGTGGTAACAAATAATGCAAATGCGATGAGATGTGATGACACTGTTGTGTTTCCAAATGTTTTGTATGTAGTGAGGTTTAGATGCGTTGTTCAACCTAGCTACATGTGTACATCAAAGTAAAAACCATGTACACATTTTTTTTAAATACCTGAATTGACATTAGTTCACCTACTTTACCAAAACCATAGACTCCGTAGTTAGTCTATTCCAAAACTTGAACACAGCTCTCATCCTCAACGTACTCATCTATGACACAATTTTCAACCCGATTATCAAAAACTGTCATACCAATAAATGAATCTCAGGTGTTCTTTCTTGAATTTAAAAATAAATTGTGATTGAAAGTAGGAAAAAAGGCAAGTGCCAACCTTAAAATATGTATAAGCTAACCCGATAAGGAATAGTTATATGTTCCTTTGAAATTGATAAGTCACATTTATTTCATAATTTAAAATTTTCTAAGAGCAATAAAGCATAGATTTTTGAACAAAACATAATAAGTTCATCATTTTGTTGAAACTATAAAAAAACTTGCCGTGCAGTGGAGAATCCATTTAAAATCATAAATAATAATGTAAACATTTAATTTTGACAGTTTCAGTAAACCTTTGAATACAATTTTAATATTAACAGCTGGTTCATTAAAAGTAGTGTAAAATTATCCATATGGTCGAAATGTAAACAAAATTGCAGAGTGAACTTTAAGGGCCTCCGGGGCAGAGCCCCAAGGAAATTTACATCGTTTCTCTTTTGAGGGCTCACCTACAGACCAATACCTTTCTTTAGACACCCCTACCAAGTTTCTACGCCCAGCCGTTCTCTCAAATTAGCTGTGACAAAAACCTCGTTTTCCTCCTTAAGAATAACATGGGATGGGAATTTAAAGGCCACGGGGGCAGAGCCCCAAGGGAATTCACCATGTTTCTCTTTTGATGGCTCATCTACAGACCAAGACCTTTCTTTAGACACCTCTACTGAGTTTCTACGCCCAGCCGTTCTCTCAAAATAGCTGTGACAAAGAAAAACAGTTTCAAATTAATATATAGATTGCGACTATTTCATCATAATTCTAAGGCCAAATATTTAATATTTACAGTCAGTTGTTATTTTTTTCTTTAGCAAATCCTTGAAAGATTAGTTAAAGTTTGGAGGGGGGAGGGAAAAAAGTGCAGTATGAAATTGGGGGGATCTGCGCTCCTGACCTTGGGGGTGAGAATGATACAGGAAACAAACTGAAACATCAACTTGAGGAATGACTGGTAAGATGACCCATTTACTCGATGAAAGAGTTTTTACGGGGAACCAACTATCACACATTTTACCTCTGTAAAGCAAGAACTTTAATTACTTATTTTTGTGACGACATTGTATTTCTTAAGAATTGTCTATTGTTTATTGTTGTCTTAAAACATACATGAACTACTGTTAGATTAATAAAGGCGAGTTACCGTAGTAAGGAATCGTAACTTAAACTTATGAAAAACGTCTCTTTGAAATTCAAGTGGGACAGGGGGTAACCGGTACCATGCTTGATTTGATATGAAACATGACCGTCCAAGGCTTCTGCATCTGACGTGCTAGAGGAAACAATAAAAAACACAAGTTATTTAAAACAAATAAGTTAAATTAATCTATTGGGGGGACAAGATGTTTATAAAGGAAAAGAAATTGTGTACAAAAAATATTTATTATATATTTACAAGGAATTCTACAAGTATTGTAGACAATTTATGACTTAAGAATATATTTTACAAGATAACTTATCAAAACCTTCAATTGTGTAAGGGTATGGAACAAATAAACAGCAAAAATTATTTAAGTAAAAAAGACGTCTTGATTAATAATAAATATCCAAAAAATGTTACCTATAAAGAGTGTTGTTCAATGTAGAATTATCATAATTGACTTTAATATATGGAAGTTTATGTGTTTTTAAGGGTTTAAAATGAGATCATATATCCAAAAATATATATTATCATTACCAAACAGTTACACTGTTCCAAATTAATTTAAACACATACTCTGTATAGCCGCTAAAAAGAATTGCTGTATTCGGTATTATATACTGTACCTTGAATATTCTTTGGTTCTCAAAGTTAAATAACATTTTTCACTAAATGGTAGGAATATTTTTTCATCCTTGATGTTTATGTTTTATGTCCTTTTCAGTTATCAAAAGAAAACACATCATTCGTAGGGTGGATACAGTCTTGTTCACTTGATGTTTTTATTACCATACACCACAGAAATATTAGAAAAATGTGATGTATATTTTATGTTCAGGTGATGACAGGAATAAACCTTAGGGGGAATATGTACCCCTGTCACAGCAATCCTAGAGACTGAGCAAATTACCATTGGTTTATTGAGTTTTGTTATTCAAGAATACAATAGAAGAAATAGTCTTCCCAATTACAAAACCTAAATAAATTTAGTTATGCATCAAACTGTAAAAAATACAACTTTATCAAAGAATAAAAGTTCTTTTTTTTGCCAAAGAAAGCACACTTGTGACAGATAAACCCACCATCCTTGAAAAGGAAAGTATTCTTGATACTGTAACAGCAATGCGTTTCCAATGAACCATACAAACTATATAGAAGAATGTACACAATCAGCATTTTTTAGTTACCGTATATAAACAATTTTAGTACAATTTGCATCCTGGATGTCTCTTGGACCTAAAGAAATTGATTTCTCTGATTGTTTGACAATCTTAATATTTCCCCGTCTAATTTTGAAGACATCGGAATACCCAAAAAGGTCTCAAATTCCAACTTTTCAAAATTCTCCACCACATATCACAGAATTGCCTGGTGAGACAAATATACAAGCGTAGGCTGGTACGCATTGAGTTTGCAGGTGAGGCAGGCGTACAGGTCGCCTCATGTTCCTGTGTTAGGTAGGCGCAAGGCCAAAAGTTGCCTGTGTAGACGTTGACGGCAAAACAGATAAAAGTCTATCTCTCGTGTAAAGTTCCTTCTGACCATGTCCTTCACTTCTTCACTCACCGGAGGTTTGAAGGTGTTTCTGTTGATCTTCCTAAAGCTGTCGAGCTCTTCTGAAAATAAGGTTCAGAATTAATAAGGCACAAGAACTGGAAATGGAATATGATAGAAAAATCACAACTCTGAACAATCATATACACATCTGTTAAGCTGACAGTATTCTATACTTAACAGTTAACACCGTTATTTCTTAAGAGATTAGTTTTATCATAAACAATTAGAATAAATATAGACTGTCAATGAAGATTCTGCGATATGCCGCTAGAGCGTACTTGGTGTTCAATTCGCTGCCTTCATCGTCTCCTCGCTATCTACTACCAGCAGACGTTGCAGCGGTGTGCGCTGTGACTACTCAGCACTCCTAGCGGTGGACACCAGAACATGCTAACCGTAGCGCTGCTGGTCTAGATTTAATTCTTTTTGTCTATGTTTTTATCGTTTTGCACATTATATAAAAGAAGTTATTTGTAATGAGACATTTTATAATGTTTTAAAAAAGATCACTTTAAAAGTTAACCTAATACATAATGTCACCAATTTAACCTTTAACTGTAAACCAAATTTTATGGAACAACCTTGCAATGTTTTGTTTAAAATGCTAAGCTATGTATTGTATAGTTGAATATGTCTTGTTCTTCCTCTGCCAAAAATGCAAGCTTCTTAGAAAAGCTTTTTAAAGCATGTTTACATTACCTGTATAGACTTGTTTAGCGCCTGCAAAGAACCTTGGAATGTAGTGTTCCAGTACAGTGAATGTAGAGTTGAGGTCTTCCAGCACTCCGACCACAGCGTAATGTCTCTCCACGGCTCGCTTGGCTCTCTGCAGGGCTCCGTCAGTGTTGAAAGGTCTGGAAAAATGGCAAGGTATTAAATGAGGGGTAAAATCAATCGATCAAATCTATAAAGCAGTGCTCTTTCATGATTCACTGCTGTTGAAATAAAAAATGGTTGGGAGAGACGAAGGGGCTGTACATCATTATAGATATTAATATTATTTATAGTACTATTTAACATTTTTAGTGTGAAAAACAGTGTTTGGAACACCAAAAATGAAGAATTGCCCATAAACATCATTAATACTTTTAATACTTTCTTATGAAATGGCGACCATACAATGTAGGTATTTTAAGCCAAGTATGAATGGAGATGAGTCTAGGATGAGTGGCGCGATCTTGTAGTCTTGTTAGTGACTAAGGCGACATTCCTTAGACACAGCTGTTAATTAATAGCCCAAACAGCTAATGGCAACTAAGGGACCTACAGTTTATAGTGGAATCCGAACCACATTTTTTCCTTGGTATATACGAATTGGTCTAATTATCAGGATAGTACTGCGGATAGTCGTAATACTCACTAGTGCGGACGTTAATCCACACCAGGGAGTATCCCATCCACAGTGCATACCTATAAATATCCACAATCCGTGACCTCCTAGTAGCTGGATTACAGGACGACGCCACCCGTCCCAGCCACTGTCATTGCACGGGCTGGCCCGGTCACCAGTGACCAGTGATTTTGGACGCCATTTTTATTGGGAAAAACTGCTCAAAACACTATTTCAGACCTAAATCACAGATAATATAACCCCTATATTATCTGTGCCTAAATCCTCACTTCTTGTGACAAAAAATGATTTCAGGCCCTGGGTGAGAACCCACTCACTGATATATTTACCACACTTAATGAGTTAACGAAAAATTAATAATTCTAGGTGTATATGGCTTAGTTATCGTTTGAGGTGTTGGATGGGACCATATACAACTCTCATTAAGTATTAGTTCCCATACCTCAAATTCTCTGGTGATACTCAGCATTGAATGTTTACGAAAGTCTCTCTCTAAGTCCAACTATCTCTGTACTCGCTGAGATAATCCTACATTATACACTACCTACTGTGTATGTCACAAACAATATGATAGTCAGTTTACTCACGTGCAGGCCTCACTGTGACCACAGAAGAACATACTCTGTCTGCGATGGTCACCGATGCCTTCCCTAGTCTCTCCCTCCAGGTACTGACATTCTCTGTCTCCTCTCAAAACACACGTCTCAAAATCCTGTGGCAAGAAAACATGAAATGTATTGGTCGTCAGGTGAAATGGCCAAACATAATAATTAATTAGGAAACCTTATACCATTTGAGAAATCCAAGATGAGATTCTTAGTAGCTTTTCTTGTGATTAAGAAAACAAAAATAAAAATTGAAAATAAAAAATTGTATTGTCAATAGTGAATAACTAAACGTGTCTTAAACTTTTTGAGACCCATTGATTTATTTTTGCTTGTTTTTACCATGGTTCTTTCATCCTAAAAATCTTGATGGACATATACATACAGTGACAATTATTGATCAAAGTATTAAAGTTCAAAGCCTTCATTTGTGTAAACAACTCAAATAATCCATCCATTCCATCAATTTTCATCCTAGAAGTCTAACATTTATTTCAGGCCAGCCTTCAAGCATTGCCATAGACAGGTAATGAGGTGATCTTAATTGTTTTAATAAAAGTTTTTGAAATTTCTTGATGACCGATGTTTATGTCTGGTGCTAGAGGAATTATAGGTTAGATGATGCAGTAAGAGAGCCACGAGTTACCTTCTTCAGCCACTCAGGGTCAGGCAGTGGAATGTCTGGGAAGGCTTGTTTGCGCTCCACGTAGTACCAGGGAGCTCTCACATAGTAGTACCAGGATATCACCCTCTCCACTGGGTCTCTCACCAGATTCACATAGATGGGCTGGGGCAGTCCAAAACTGTACACAACAATCACTGTTTAGCATGGTGCTTCAATAGAATTCAATGCTTGTACACAATAGTTTTTTATCTGATTCTGAAGCAGTGGCAAATTTTACATCCCTGCAGACAATGCAGTGTGGGGCCCCAGGCTCAGGTTCAGGTTTTTAGGGGGGGCCAAGAAACAATTATTTTAACCATCAAAGTCAATGTATCTATTGGACCCCAGAAATAAAGTTCTTTAAGTTGAACGTGTTTGTATGGTATCTCCTCATTGTTCATTTTTAGTATATGAGGTATTCCATACTAGGTTAATTCATACTTCGTTCATATAAAATTTTAGACGGTTTTAGGGGAAGAAATCTATCCCCTCACTTAATACTAGCTTTAAAATAATAGCTGAACAGCTGAGGTTTGCCAAAACGTCAATCAGCTGCAACATATACATTACGCAAAAAAAGTAGTGAGGGAACTTCTGACTAAATTTTGTGAATCGACCATAACATTAGTGGCTGAGTTAGTAATTTATGTATAATTCTAGGCATTTTCTCTTTGGCAAATGTGGAATAAGAGGACTTGGAATAAAATTTTCATTACTCCGTTACGAAAGTAACTAGCTGACATCAATGAAAGTAGTCGTTTCCCAAGCTCTAATTTAGGGCGAGGGAAAATCGATCAGCTGATTTTCCCTTGCTCCAAATTAGTTCTCAATTTATTCACTACACGCGCTAGTGTTTTGTTACGGTTTAATTTAATGATTTGAATCAGCTGTATGTATTGTTAAAAGTTGTTTTATTCTTTTATTTTGATGTTTAGACAAAATTTATGGAGAAATATACGTAGGTTTCCTTTAGAATATTTTCTCATTTTTTTTATGTTTTAAAGATTAATAAAAAAAATACCTAGGTTTCCTTTTGGTATTATTTTTATTTTCTATCAAATTAATTGAGAAATAAAATAGTTGTAATAATACTGTGGTCTGCTATTCTGTGTTTGTAAATTTTGGCATCGTGATGAAAAGTATCGTTCATAACTCGTACCGAAAGTTATTATACGGCACTTGCTCCATTATTACCGTCCTCGGCTTTGCCTCGTACATGAAAATTGCTCTCACATACTCGGCTTTGCCTTGCACGTGAAATTGGGGTTCCCTGTGTTCGGCTTCACCTCACACAAAAAGTTGAGCGTGCGCCGGAAAATGCCACTTTCGGTCCTAGTAATTAAATATAATATTACTTTTGATCCAATCAACGTTCGTTAACAAAACAGAAACACATGTTATAGCAAAAAATTTGTTATAGCATTCGTGCAATTGGGTGGCATGGCTTATGAGGTTAGTTGAGTGTATCAATCAAGTACTCGGATTTTATAAGATACAAAAAAGGAGTCTACAAAATTTAGTTTTACTAGGTCATCATCGCATTGGAGCCATCCTGTTAAACAATTAAGCAGGTACAAAAATTACTCATGTAAGACTATTACTATAACTCTAACACTTAATACAGTAATTTGTTTTGCTCCAAACCGATGAGACAAACTCTATGTAAGTTACGAAAGAGCACAACAAGTAAAGCCTTTCACCTTGGAGCTTCTTTGAAGGGATATAACAATTACACTAGGAATAAGGGCACAAATAAGGCATGTTTCAAGCCAAATACAATTTATATAAGTGTACGATTAGTGAAATGCCGACTACATAATCCTTGATACTGACTATGATTGGGTTGTAATATGGTTCGAGATACACTTCACTCAATTGTTGTAAACCTTTTTAAAACTTACTGAGTAAAGTTCAGGAAGCAGATGTGTTTGACATAGACTGATGGAGTGGAATACTGGTCAATCATAGTTGCCAACCCCAACTGAAACAAAAATGTATTTTTATTAGTATGGTATTATGTAATAAAGGTATATTTGTTACAAGGCAGGACTTTCGTTTTTGATGCTAGGGTTCAAATTCCACCATTACCAAGGATTCTTGCGTTCTTATCCATGTGAATTTGCCATATGTCAACTCTGTTTAGATTCCACTAAAAAAAAGTATATAGTATGTCTGTATTACCAGGCACGGCTGGTCTAGTGGAAGAATCTTAGGACTTCTGCACTGAGGGTTTGGGATCAAATCTTGCCTGTTACTGATGGCTTCAAGCTATGAGATAATGTTGTAACTCTGTATAAAGTTCACCTCTTAAGCTTTGTATCTATACTTATCTAGAAGAGTAAAAAAGGACAACTTTATTTCATTGGATTTCCTTCCACGGTAAATTACACGATTATTGAATTCTTTTTTGTCTTCATTACCAATGATCACCTTTAACTTCTTCCCTACTACTCTTAAATTGAGAAAATTATACAGGGGCTTCTATAGAACCAATAAGAAAACAAATAGAAACCTAAATGCAACTGAAACCCCCTATTTTGACTCCGAGGAATTCGGCAAAATTATTTTTAAACCCAAAAAACCATCCCACCTCTCAAAATCTGCCCTTTTATGTGCTTTTTTTTGGTTTAAAAATAATTTTGCTGAATTCCTTGGGGTCAACATAGGGGGTTTAAGTTGCAGTTATGTTTCTATTTGCTTTCATATTGGTGCTACAGAAGCCGGCAGGGTGGACTGGGACACCCTGTTTAGTAGCTGTAGCTGCAGTGGTGTATTCGTGAATTTTTTAATGGGGTAACGCTCACCATCGTCTCGGGGAGAGCACAGGTCACCTTATTAAAACATAGGACTTTGAAAAGAGTTCAGGGCCGTGTTAAGGGTCAGTGGAGCCTCAAAGCGAGAGTTTGATCTTGTCATTATAATGTCAAACCATTAATTATGTTCTCACTTCTTTATCACCTTCTAGTATAATACATACATGAATACAATAGGTACCCTACTAACTAGTATAGTTAGTAGGAGTCTAAGAGCAAGTCAATAAGAATAGTGTCATAAAGTGTCACGACACAACTCATTAAACCACTACTGTTAATAGACAATCTGGTCTATTTCTGAAGATGTTACTAGGTTTATTGCACAAAATAGCCCTGTTAAATGGAGAATGGTGATAAGTATGATAGTACAAAACACAATTGAAGAGATATTTTACAACTCTACTTAGCTGTAAATCATACTTTATGAACTATAAGCGCTAGCCTCTGGCAGCAATAAAAGGTTTTGCTAGCTTTTAATGTTCACTTTACCATTACTGCTTAGCTCAAATGATCATTAAAGTTCAGTGCTCGATTTGTAAAAAATGAGGTGCCGGAATTAACTGTAACCTACAGTGAATTATGACCCCCTTCCCTCTTATGATAATAATGCCAGTATGTTTATCCTTCAGAAAGAGAGGTACCCAGAACGCCGTTCGCGTTCCCCCGCAAATCAAGTTCTAGTAATACTGCTAGTCTTTAAAATAAACTCTTAAAATGTGCTCTTGGAAATTTGTATTTGTATTCAATAGTTCATTGGTATTTGAAGACAACCCCCACTCTATGTCTGTAAAAATTACGCCTGCTTTACAAATTTACATGATGAAACCACCAATGTACAGCTGTACAAAATTTTATATCCAGGTTATATGCCCCTGAACAGGTGTCACCCAGAGTCCATAAACAATAATCAGTGAGATTTCAACATCAACATTTTGCCATAATTATCTGTTGTCGAGAAAGATTATTCCTTGAATTTCAGAAACCATGAGTTGATCATTAGCGTCAACCTATACTTCCAGTAAATCAAAAAAGTAAGTGCACAGTACAATTTCTTTTTGTTTTTGAAACATGTATATGGTAGCAAGGATTTCTGTTCCCCTAAGTAAAACCACTCTTCTTAGGCTTCCGTGACTACGGTGGCTGACAGTGATAAAAACCAAAACAGAGTTTCTTAAAAACCATCTTAACTGAATTTAGGGCTTGAAAGGCAAAAGTATATAACCCATATCACTTTCAATTCTACTATTTTCCTCCAAACTTACCTGTTCAGTAGGTGCTAGTCTGATGGTCTCCACCCTCTGAATGTGATCGCGATGGAAAGCAAAGTTATTCCTGATGGCAAGGTGGCGTAGCAGCTCCATGAACGTTTGGGAGCCAACCTTCGGCACTCGGTTGAAGAACACCAGCTGTTTGCGAGCCTTTGCGGTATTATTTAGTTCTGACACATCTAGACTGTCCATCTATAAAACAGAAAGCATAATTTTGTAGAAATTTGGGAAAAGAAAAGGATCAGAGCTTAACAATCATCAGCCTTTGTTGCCACCTAATGAGTGGTAAGGCTCAGGGCTTCGGAGCCTCAAGTCCCAGGTTCTAATCCCACCAATCACCAATGGAGCCTGAAGAAAATGTGTAAAACTGTTCCGGGCCAGAGCCTTAGCATCCTAGGATGGTAAGGTGGGACCGGGTGGGACATAGACGTTGTTCAACCGCTTTTGGGCTGAGGCGGGTAGATGCTATTGGAGGTTTAAGATTTGGAACAAAATATTGCAAATACAACTGCATTTAACTGAAGGTTTTTCTATAATTTATATTAACTCTGAGCGCTGGCTGAACAAGTCAAACGAAATATATGTAAGCCTAGACATAGGGCGGTTAGACTTTAGCATGTACTAAGATGTTTAAGGTCTTGGTCGTGGTAACAAGGAGGTTGCTAGAAATTGTTTTGGAAATAGAATAGACTAAATTATAAAATTATTACTGATGAAAAACTTTCATACGATAAAAAAAAAAATCTAATTTGAAAAGCATTGACAACCATTCTAGTGATGATTTTTCTTTCAATTGCAAACTTTTCAATGGATCACATTCATTTGCATACCACCTGAGAGCGACCAGCCGTCTGGCAATCCACGACCTCTTTCCCACACATCCGGTATCTGCGGGCTGTTATCCACTTACGGGAAGTATAACCTGATCTACCATCATCTGGTACCATTACCATCAAAGTAAGGCAAGATGAAAGTGATGAAGATGAGCTACTTGCTGCGTGTTCACACTCCCTAACCAAACTAGTTCTGATGCAAATAAAATGCAATCTACTTTCATTTGTGGTTTGTGGTTTCGATCTTTTGCAATTTGCTATTTTAGTTTATTTCAGTATTTTCTTGTTTGTATCCTTGTGTATTAATTAGTAGTTGTCTGAAACATGTTTAGATTTACAATGTAAACAATTTCTGGTATGAACCAAAGGTAAATGCAGGGAAGAAGTGTGACGAGGATGGGGTATGCACCTTGCACCTTGTTACCAAACACCAGCTTTTTCTGTATAAAAACTTTCCAAATTAAATCTCAAAACAGTCTAAAAACAGAAAATCAGTCATGGTACATTTACCCATCTTACATTGGAAGTTTGGTTAGTACTTAGTTTATGTTATAGTTGAAAATCATTAGAATGTAAGGAGTAATTTTGTAATCCTGTTCCCACAAATAAATAAATTATTATCTATATAAACTTACCCTTGAGTCATTTTTTAGATAAAAAAAATAAAATAAAGATTATGAAATATTTATTTTTATTTAACTCCTTTGTAGTTGCCTTTATGCCTCAACCAATATGGACAAGTTTGGACAATATTTGAACCTCAAAAATGGGCCATTAGGATAATATTGTAATTTGGATAGCCTTTACAATGATGATTGGTGTGAATAAAAAGAATTAGACATTTTTACGGTGGGTATTTTATTTTATTTGGTATTTTAACTAGGTAGTTTATGGCTGGTAAATCTTAGACACGTCTATTATCACAAACCATTATTTAGAAAACTCTGACTTTAAAAGCCACTAGTACAATACCAGGCAGGCATAAAAAAATCATCATTCCAATGCAAAATAAAATATCTTAAGTGGGACTGAAATGTTTAAAGCATTTACCAGGTTACATTAACAATAAAGAAAATATCACTTGATTTTAAATAAATTAACAAATTATCTAGTAGAAAAATACCATTAAAATATTACCATAAAAAGATCTTTTTCAACCCCACCCTATAGCCTATAGACAGACTTAAACAATTTATTTATATTTGTATTTATATCATGAAAACAGATACCAGTAGTTTTTTTTACCAATCTATATTATTAAAAGAATTTGTTGCAAATCGACCCCTAAATATTTATTTTTGTAGGCATATTGGGTATCAATTTAAAGCTCTTTTTCTCTAGATGTGCCTTTTGCGGGTTTGGATGATATTCCGTGATCGTCGTAGGCTTTTAAAGTTTCCTAGTTTGTTCTGAATTCTGTTGTCAATCATCTGAACTTTTTCAAGTTTACTATTGTTTACATCGAAACAGATGACTATGATGCAATTTTGTTTACATCCATACGAAAATGGGGTTATTTGTAGATGGTGATGTTTTAGTGAATTCAAGTAAAATGTTGTAATGACATTTGTGCAAGAAGAAAATGACTTGCGTTAGACTTTGTGTTTTCTTAGTATGTTTCATTGGTATTTATAGTTTCTCTAAGATACCTAGAAGAGATAGCAGAAGCAATGAAAATAATAGGGCTCGCAATGCAAATAGGGATGTGATGAGAAAAAAATTGTTTTCACGTTTATCAACTATATCACGGATTTTGGTAACTGCAATAATAGGTTATCCTACTTTTATTCAGTAAATAGTTTAGTACAAGTACCATATTGCAATTGAAAAAAATACATCTCTTAAAGTGTAAGCTGCATCAATGGCCGATCTGTAAATTGCTTGTGGATACATTTATGTAACATAAATAGAGGATCTTGTATGCTACATGACATACAAACAGCAATAGCAAACTACGAAACTTCTATCATAAATCATAGAAAGCTACTTTCATAAGTTCTTTGCTTTCTTGGTTGACCACACTAAGTAATAAACACCCAATTATAAATCATATTAAAATTTTAAAGTAAATAAATTTACTAAACTTTACAGTTATGTTTAGAGACTATAACCTCTATATGACAAATATTGTAGATTTTCAAAATATTAAAATATACTTGGTATCACTGAAATCTGTACTGAACTTTTGAAGTATCATTCCTGGACCAAAGACAATATAAAATATTTTGTTAAAAAAAACTCAATTGTTGGGTGTACCATTATATCATTATTCAAAACACATCTTCGCCTTAAAATCCACTCCAATCTAATCCAATCCAAACCAATCTAATCTAAATCTATCTCATTTTTTGAAACTTACTTTTGTAAAAGGCTTACCTCGCCACTGTCCTGAAGCTGCCTCATCATGGCGCTGACTGCGGACATCCCGCTTCCTCCTACAACAAAACATTCAATATTGTCATACAATTAGCATATAATCAACATATACAACTTAGTTCATTGGTCTTTTAACCTGACTCGAATTTTCAATTATTTATCTAGAATCAAACAAAATCGTTCGAAGCTGCTGACAACAGCTAGTAAATAATATTTTGATTTATTTATTCTTTACTTCTAGGCCCGGTCCTAGGTGAGCGACAGGAGCAAGACAGCAAAGCGAAAGTGCGCACTTCAAGAAGGATTTGAATGCAAGAAGAGTGTAGAATGAAGTTCTTCTTCTTCGTTGTGCATCTTTTTACTGACGAAGATCAGCTGTTTCTTTGACCATGACCAACGATCAAGATCAACGAACCGCCAAAACGCTGAAAACTTCACTCAGGATGGAGTCAACTATCTTTAGATTCTCAGGTAAACTCTAAGCTTCATTTTTGTTCCATTATCTGTGTCATAGTGTAAAATAAAAAGCATTTGAAATGTTTAACAAATAAAAATACAAGTAGTACTATTTATGCTATGGGCCACAGTGAAAATTTATTTAAATCACACCACTTCAGAACTTCGAAAGCCGAGAGGAAGAGCCTAAAGGGATTTTAAAGTCGGAAGGATGAAAGAAACATTCCCAGGCATAAATAGACCATTTTCTCCTAAGTGCCATAGCAATCGGATGTACATCCGATAAGCCGATCAGCGGGTCGGGTAATGCACGTAAAAATAGAGAGGCAAACTTTTTATATACATCGTAACATCTAATCAACATAGCATATCATAACATAACAAGGTATTTCAATTATATACATAATCTTAAATCAAAGAATACTTAGCCTAGGTTTCCCAGTTCCCACAGTATTTCAATACGTAACCAAGACAGAATAAACAAGTTAAGGCTTGTTCCGTATTTAGACGCAGATCTGACAGACAAGATATACTCGTGTTATTAACGTCTTTAACTCTAAATTCAGACAATTCCCTCTCCAAGTTCGTGTAAAGAGGATGTCATGGGTCATAGCTTGCGGCAATTCAAGCAAAAACATGATCGGAACGACAAGGAAAATACAAGGTTAACTCAGAGTATTTTGTTGTACTGGTTTATTCTGGGTACTACTGATTTCACATGATCGATTGGAATCTAATTTAAGAATGCTACTTTGAAGAAGTAATTTACGCACCATCTTTACACTTAACTATAAACTAGTTAAACTAAGTGTACTTTAAAATGTTTTATGGATTAAACACGTTTAGGCAGTAATGTGTTAGCTTTGTGGCCAGATAGAAACTTTCCAAACCCATCAGGAAGAATATAAACTGAGTACGGTAGACCACCCTGAAACGATGCCGAATCGTAAAATCCAGCGACAATTGTAACAGTTTCTGACCCTAATGTGACATTCATGTGGCATTACACACAACACTGCACGGCACATAACTGTGATTTGGACACAATGTCACACATAACTGTCGCTAAGACTGTCAAATTATGTTTAGATGTCTCAAGATTTAGGTTATCGTAGGTCATTTTTGTCTACGGTCATGTAGAGGAATCTTACCCATTTAATAATGATGTTTTAATTTGCACTTGGCTCAAAGCTGTGGAGCCATAGATTAAATACTAGGGTAAAGATTTATACTGGCTTATAGCATAGATAAAACACACTGTCTATGCTTATAGGTTACTGGACATCAAAATATATCAGACGAAGACCTCCCATTGCAGAGGTAAGTTTTATCTAGATTTCATAAAGATCTTTTGATAAGAATAATTTCCTTGTAACTCGTTCGTATTTTGTTTTATGCTACCCCGTATGTTATTTTTTTTAGAAACGCGTATTTAACTCCACTTAATAAAAATATTTATTTTTGGGTCCTAATCTTGTGATAACCATCAATATAAGGGTTTTTGTAGGCTGTGTACATTGTACGATTACATTATAACACTCACTTAAATAAAGAAATTAGAAAGACACTGTAGGATCTAAGTGGTGAAATCTTGACGAAACGAACTTTTTAAACTAAATCCTGAACAAACCCGTTATATTCTAACCATGATGATGGCGCCTGCTTGTAGGCACATCAAGCATTATCTTAGATTTTCGTTTTCTACCCGCACACCTGTCAAATAATATTTTGTAATCATAATCCTTACGGGCCATATTTTCAATTATTCAAGCCAAGTTTGTAGAAAAGCTATAACTTACAACTCTTATTCATTATTGATCTTTCATCATTGTTGTTGGTTTAATACATTTGTATTTTGAAAAGTAAAAGCTCTTTGCGTTTTAACCGCAAGAAATAAATTTATAAGAAAATTGTGAGTTCAAATAGTACTGTTTACCATTGACAGGACGCGGATAAGGAGACAGAAGTAACTAGAAAATCAATAATCAACACGTTTTGTTTTACTGTTTGAATATTTTGCCTCCAAACAACATGTGTGACGTTACAGATACAGAATGGTTTTAGAAGAGGGAGTGCTCCAATACAGGTCAATTAGTTATAATCTTAGTGACTTCCATTTTTTCCTAAATGCTGGATTCCGAACCACGAAGTCACCTCAGTAGCACTTAACTAAAAGAAATTGGCCATTTGTAGGATTTGAACCCGCGACCGTAGGGCAGAACTACCGCACTCTATCACGGGACTTATAAACAAACTGTGACTCTTTTTGTAGACATAATTAATGGATACACCTTACCTACAAAATAAACTACAAAGCCATAAAATTACATACAAGTAACTGCATCCACAGAGATATTATGTGCTCATAAGTAACTCAAAAACAAAAGCAAATCCGACCATCAGCCACACGCGTTCACGATATTAAGATATTATCTTTTATGATCAAAGACAAAACATTCTTAGCACAAAGTGTTCTCCGGTAATAGCGCAGCCCATTATAGCTCTTTTTGCCCGGAGAAAACCGGATACTATAACCATCCATATCCGTAATTATCTTCGATTTGCATTTGGTTTATTTGTATTAGGGGAGGGCTTCACATTAAATCCTCTGATGTGCCGACAGATCTTCTAGATATCGAAAATAATTATGTTTCACTTATCTTTTTGGCAAATCTTTCATAATAGAGTAGCATTTAAATTTAAATGTAAACACGTGAGTGCTAAGCGATTATTAGTGATTACAGATATTAAGGTTAGTGTATCATACTACGTTAAACATACACTAATCTAGAGCACAATAGTTTGTCTTGGAAATAGAGGCTATTCAATCCCGCTGATACCTGAAATATCACCCAGTACTTACTGCAGTATGTGTCTATTATAATTAACCGATCGTTAAAATGTTAGTATAAAAACTTTGTAAAAATATATTTATTTATAATCGCTAACTACAGAGTAATGTCAAAACCAATACATAGTAACATTTCAGTGCGCAACTCAATCATTTTATTTAATTATTTATAGAGATATGATATCATCGCACTTCATTCACTGGTGGTGTATAAACAAATAGAACGATACTCAAAATGCAGTTTTAAAAGCACACAGAATTCATAGAGGGTCGATGTGGAGTCTATTAAAATATTTTTTGAATCTTTATATTTATATCCATACATTATTAACGGACTTAAGTTCTAGTTTAATGCACAACGTCATATGGCAAAACAGGATTGGCTGGGTAGCCGAGTGGTTATAGTGCTCTCCTAGCAGTCAAAAGGCCGCCGGTTCGATCCTGAGAAAAGTCAGATTTGGTGGTCCGAAACTGGACCCAGCTGTTCTTGATCATTGTGCATTAAATAAATGGTCCTGGCTAATGAAACAGCTGATCTTAGTCAGTAACACAGCTACACAGAGATCATCTCACACCATTCTAGACTCATCCTTCACTCATATTTGAGGGGTAGCGGATTTCTACCCCCGGATATTTACCCCCATGAAAAAACGCCTACGTCATTTTGACGTCACGAGGGGCGGGGCCTATACACGGTCGAGAAACAGCCCGCGACTGGAAATTTACCCCCAATATATTATTAAATAATCAACATGTAATTGTTTGATTATGAAGTGATTTGCCATAGCACGGAAATCTACCCCCGGATATGTAACCCCAGAAATCCACCCCCGTACATTTACCCCCGGATATCTACCCCCAGACATTTACCCCCGGATATCTACCCCCGGAAATCTACCCCCGGACATCTACCCCCAGATATCTACCCCCGGACATCTACCCCCAGATATCTACCCCCGGACATCTACCCCCAGACATCTACCTCCGGACATCTACCCCCGGAAATCAACGGCTCTTCGGTTAAGCATTGTCTTGTAATATCCAGTTTAAAGCATGCGATATGTCATTTCCTTGTTTAACATTATCTATCTTCCTAATTCAATAAGCTGTAACAGTCCTTTTTCACCCGACCTACTTCGCGGATTGTTACAATTGAGGTGTAATTTTAAAGCTTAAGATCTTGCGCAGAGCAAAATGGTAATTAAAAAGGATATTTTGATCAGGGCTTCAAAAGGTTGACCCCTAAGCCTTTGATTTATTCCTAGAAGGTGCTTCCAATGGTTGACCAACTTTCTTTTGGTTGGATTTTTTTGGTTGACTAACTTTATACAGTAACAGTTTTAAAGGTGAAATGTGAGCAGATTACTAATCAGTTCCATTTTTAAGTCAGGTTGAAAACCAGAATAGATCGTCTGCATCTGTAAACAAGAGATGGAACACTACCCCAAAACTACTTTTCGTTCTCAATTGGCCCTCTATCAATAACCTGTGTTGCCTGTACAGCGAGGCATTTTGAGAAGGAGAAAACCGGCCGGATGAATGCTTTAGGTTTATCAATAACGAAGATAAACATGGTTTTAGTTACACACCGGTAATCTTTGAGCTAACTCATTTAAACTCATTGTAAATATTCATTGTTATTCATTTTGAAATAACTCCTTTAATACTTTGCAATTGCTCGAATTCGAGCAACATGTACACTAGTTACATATTATTGCACTTACGATTTATTTGATCCTTTTATTTACGTGA